CTTGTTATTATTGTTTATATCTTTAAAGCCACAATCCAGTGCATTGAAGCTAGCCCGAACACTCACTTGAGATTTAGTGTCTCTTTGGCCATTTAAATTTGTTCCTCTGAGCTTAGCCCTATTTTTAGTATTTTTTTTTTCATCACTTCTCTTTCAGTTCTTCTGAAATTTGGAAGTTCTACACTTTCTAAAATCCAATGCTCCCGGAGTATTGAGGTTTCATCTTCTCCAGAAGTCCATTTCTTTTGCTAGTAACAGTTTCTCTGTTCTTTGTTTCATTGGCCAAACTTCACTGCCATATGTGATTACACTTTTAAGTATGGTGTTGTATATGAGTTGTTTGTTTGCTTTAGATATTGCTTGGTCCCACAGAATGCCGTTCATCATGGATATGGCTTTTCTACCCTGTATGTTTCTCTCTTTTATAGCAGCATCGAGTGTTCCATCTTGAGTTATCTTCATACCCAAGTACTTGTATCCATCGCAGTTTCTAATTTCTACACTATCGTCTAATATAATGGATTGTTTTGTCCCTCCAATACACATGCCTTCAGTTTTCTTAATGTTGACTTCGAGACCCCATTTGTTATATTCTTGTATTAGCTTTCGAGTCATGTAACTCAAGTCGTCATGATCCTGGGCAATCAGTATTTGGTCATCAGCGAAACATAACGTGTAGAGTGTAGTCTCGTCATTGAGAGGCATTCCCATGCCATTACATTTTCTTTACTAGCTTGAGTGCTTGTTCCAGATAAATTTTGAAAAGGGTAGGCGAAATACAGCAACCCTGCTTTAGTCCTTGCGTGACCTTAAATCCTTTAGATATCCTTGATCCAGTTTTAATTTTTGCAGTCGTTCCATTATACAGACTTTGGACTGCTTTGATAAGACCATGCTTAATGTTGGTTTGCTGTAGGGTTGACCATAGTTTACTTAGGGGTACACTGTCATATGCTTTTTGTAAGTCTACGTACACCAGGTGAACCTTCTTTATTGAAGGCTGTTTTTTTCTCAATAACTTGCGTAACGCAATAGAAGCAGTATAAATGTCTTTAATAAATGTATTTTAATGTTTAAAAAATAATAAACTCCTAAATATTGGCGAAATCTGCAAGAAAGACTCTAATGAAGAATTAATTTGGCTTCTTCAGGGCTGAAAGGGAAGAAATTACCGTATATATATATATATATATATATATATATATATATATAATATATATATATATATATATATATATATATATATATATAATATATATATATATATATAATATATATATATATATATATATATATATATATAATATATATATATATATATATATATATATATATATATAATATATATATATATATATAATATATATATAATTGTGCTCTATTTTTGACTCTATTTTTACTTGTGAAAATAATTTACTCCAATTAATTAATTTACTAACTATGTAATTAATCAAAATCAAAACAAAAAATTTATAAATTATATATCTTAGGGCTAATTAATAATTTTAGTACTTACTTTGTTTCTTAAGGTTCAAAAAAGATTTCTTAGTGGCTTCCTAATAAAAGGTTTGGTAAAAACGACGTAAATAATACAGAGGAATTTCAAAGTTAAAATAACAAAATTCGGTTATTTTATCAATTTGTATTAAATTTTCAATCATGTCAGTTTTATCAATGACTCCTTTATCTTTTATTGTATGTAACCACTATTAAAACTATGAATCTTGTTTTCTTTTGTGACCCAAATTAATTTGATATGAAATATTTTGATTTGTCACTATTACGGATAAAAGAAATTATAATGATGTCTAAATGATGACTTTTTCTTGAGATTTAAAAAAAAATTATAATACTGAAATGTTTATTTAAATATGTACTGTGGTATTTAATTTGCAAAGCCGTTCATTTCTGTCATAACAAATTAAGACTGACCTTTTCACTGTAGCTTCGAAAATATCCTCATACCAAAAACAATTATTCATAGTTGCTGCTGTTGCGATCCAAGGAAACTTGTCCACGTTTCTAAAATATGTCCCTGCTTGCTGTCACCTCGTTTTCCTTTTCCTGCTGTGTCTCGTACCTGCACTCGGTCCGGCTTTCTGCTGCTGCAGTATTCCCGCCTTTTACAGCACTTAACGATTCCTGTATGCTTTAGATTCAAGGAGTTCTATTATCTCTGAACTTGACCTTATTCTGGGTTCCAATTATCTTACACAGGTCAGTTTTGGACAAACAAAAACCGGCAATTTTCTTTTTCCGTGCACTAACCACCAAACAGGACTATCCCTTTCAATCGAACAAAACAGACTGTCTTTTCTTCTCATTCATTCTCACTCCTTCTCCAGTCCTTCCCTTTCCTCTTTACCATTTTTAGCCAATCAAAACAACTTTCAGTCATAACGTATTTTTCTACCAAACTATTTTCTCTTTTCAAAAATACCATTAGGGATTTAAAAAAAAAACAAAATTTTCAGCTATCTTAATCCTAATCTAAACATCAAACGTATTTTTTCTATCCTTACAAATAATAATATAAAGGTATAATTTAACTACCGATAATGTCTATTAACTGTATTTCTTGAAAAGTCAATAATCGATTCCTTTGTTACATAGATTTACCCTCGACCTCGGCTTCGGGTACTTCGTTCAAACCACAACTTTCTTATCTAAATTACCTATTCTCTAATGTGGACTTTACTGTTTCTGGGGCTAAAACTAAATATAATCATTTGTACACAATTTTGTCTTATACACGGTGTTCCAAAACTTATATGCTCGTGGTTGAGAAATATAAGTTATTATTTAAAAAATATTAATATAGGCTTTTAACTTCTCATGTCAATTTAAAAACTACAGCAAATCCCCACCTTTGTAACCGATAAAAATTATCCGCATCTGTAACTGATTTTTCTCGAGGCAAACCAATTTTCCTGTATACTGTCTTCTCTTAATTTACGTCTTATACTCTAATCTACTATCTACTTTATACAGTTCTGTCCTTTATTCGTGATATTTGTATACATCGTGAATATTATAAATTCCTCGGATCCTTTCAGAGTTCATATGCTTCAATTCCTAACTGTTTATCCCATCTTCATTATTAACTATGTACGGACCTTCGAGAACAGGCAATAATTTTGCGCAAATGCCGCCAGGAAGATTTGATACTCGTAACGCCCTTACAAGCACTTTTTCACCCTTTTGGAACGTCACTGGTCTTCGTTTTCTATTATGATCATGTACAGTTTCTACTACCTGTTGATATTCTCTTAGCTCTGGGTGTTCCCATGGTCTTATCGGCATTACACCTTTCATGTATTCTGGGGTCTCCTTTGTTACTTTACTCGGCATGGTATTTAGATACACTTCTATTTCTGCCATTTTCTGTCCCAGCGTCAATGTTTAGAGGGGATTTATATTGTAATACTGTGTGCTGGTTGATATTCCTGGCATCTAAACATAATCTTAATTTTCCATTGCTTTTCTTTACTATCACAATTGGGTCACAATACGGCGAGTCACATCTTTCGATGATTTGACATTTTATTTATTTCTTCTTTCACCTCTTGTCGATACTTATATGGAATTGGGATTTTTAGCCACTCGGTTTTCCTCATTTACCAAAGTTTGATAATCTATTATGATCACACGCAATTAATTTTCTTTTCCTTCTCCACATATCAATTTTCTGTTTCTTTTCTCATATTCTTCACACATGTTTATCGTGCATTTTGTATCCTCTTCAAATACCACTGTTTCAATTACATCTTTTTCGCTTTCATTTGTCAAATTTATTTCTTCTTGTGGGCTCATCTCTTCTTTTGAGAAATCCCAAATTTTATTTTTTTTTTGTTGTTAATATTTTTTCTTTTTTTATCCCTGAGCTCATATCTTCTTTTGAGGAATCCCAGGCTTTTGCTTTTTTTATCTTTTTCTGACCTTTTCTCCTTTTTGTTCTTTTCATTTGTTTCATCGCTAGATTCATTTCCGCTTTTGTTCTTTCCCTGATTCGTCCATATTTTGTTTCTTATGTTCCTTGTCCTGTTCTTCTTCTTTTTCTTCTGTTAGTTTCATTGTATTATTTTTGAAATCTATCACTACATGTTTTTCCGCCAATTCGTCAATTCCTACAATCATGTCATGTGACATTTTTGGCATTATTACACATTGTAGTGCATACATATTTTTACCCAATCGTACCATTACTCGTAAGGCTTCATTTATCGTTGCTAATGTCCGTCTATTCACGCCCACTAAGTTTACCGAAATTTGTTAAATTTACTTCTTCTATTAATTTTCTGTTGACCAGTGTTATTTCCGAGCCAGTGTTTATCATAATTTTAATTGGTTTCTCATTGATAAATCCATCCACAAATTTTAAATTAACTCCATTTCTTTTCTCATTTATTCCTGGCAGTTTAATAAATTCCTTGGGGTGACAAAATATTCCTGTTTGATTTTTTGTTTTTAGTGAGCGCCTTCGCGAAAAGACGCCTGTTGTTCTTCTGTATTTTCTCACACGTCGTTTCTTCTCTCATCCTCATATTTTTCTCTTTGAGTATGATTTATCTCTCTTGTGTTTTCTCTAGGTCTGTCTTTTCCGTAACGGTTCCTGCGAGGTTCCGGTTCATTTCGTCGATTATTATATATGTTTTCCTGATATGTGCGGTTATTTCTGTTCTGATTTTCTCGATCCCTGTCTTCGATCCCTATCTTCGGTTTCTGGGTTTATAGTTCTCTCTTCCGTTTTGTCTACCTTAGTTTTAACTTCTTGGTATAAATTCTCGTTTTGTATAATCCCTTCTGAAATTTTGTCCTTTATCTCTGTATTCTTCATTTTCTCAGTGTCTGTAGTTTTTCTTTTGATCTTCTTTCCCTTCTTTTATGTCTACCCGATTCTCTTATTTGTAAAAATTGGCATAAGCTATCGATGTCTTTGTAGTTTTGAAGATTTATGTGATCTTCAAGAGTATCCTCGAAATGTCTTTCAATCAGCTCTACTAATTGTTCGGATGAATAATTGCATCGCAAATGTTTTGCGTTGTTTTAGATTTGTAATGCGTACATTTTCTCTGAGATTCCCATTCATTTTGCAATTCCTTATTTACTTGCGATTGTTGGATTTTATGGATAATCGTTTCTCTTCTTTCTCCGACATTTTGTTGATTTTTGATTTCTTTCAATTTTTCTTCTATTTCTCGCATGTCTTCTTGCAACGCGTTTTCAAATTTGGATTCTAAATTCTCCAGGTCATTTTTCTGACACTTTTGTATTTCCTTTATTTTATTTCGGATTTCTTCCACTTTCCTTAAGATTTCTTTCATCTCTGTCTCTTGTTGTGCATTCTTTACGGTTATCTCTTCTAGCTGTTGTGTAATTTCTTTCTTTATCCCCTCAACACAACCTTTAATTTCCTGCTCATAAATTTTCCAGACGTTGTTCTATATACCTGTTATTTAGTTTTATTGCTTGCCTTGTTTCCCGTTGGTTTTCGTCTATTTTCTTTGAGGTTTCTTTCATGTTTTCTTCCATTTTCTTTGACGTTTCTTTCATGTTTTCTTCCATTGTTTGTTTTGTTTCCTGTTAATTTCTATCCATAGCCGGTTTGCTTCTTCCATTTTTTGTGATTGTATTTGCAACAGTTGTAATAATTTCTCTATTCCTGATTTTTCATGTTTTTCTGTTTCCATGATTGTTGTGTCTAACACGTCTTCCTGGTCTGAATGTTCTTCCTGTTCTAATTGTTTTTCTTGTTTTTTGTTTTCTTTACTACAGTTTCTTGTGTTGGGCATTTGTTATATTATTATCCCCGCCAAATATGATATTTGAATAGTATGTTGTACAGACAAAACTTTTCTCAGCCAAATGTAATCAATTGTAAATAAATATATCAAATGTAAATATCAATCACATAAATAAATTATGGGAAATTTGTATCTTAAGAAATATAAAATTTTATGTCATCAACTGTAAATATCTCACTTTTAACCACGGGCATATAAATTCCTAACTAGCGGTTTGTTTTATCCTATCCTTTCAAATTTGCCAGTAGAAATATTTTTCAAGGCTTTTCACGTTGGGGGACATGTTGTTGTACTCTATTTTTGACTCTATTTCTACTGTGAAAATATTTTACTCCAATTAATTAATTTACAACTATCTCATTAATCAAAATCAAAACAAAAAATTTATAAATTATGTATCTCAGTGCTAATTAATAATTTTAGTACTTACTTTGTTTCGTAGGTTCAAAAAAGATTTCTTAGTGGCTTCCTAATAAAAGGTTAGGTAAAAACGGTATAAATAGTACAGAGGAATTTCAAAGTTGAAGTAACAAAATTCATTTATTTTATCAATTTGTATTAATATGTTCAATCATGTAAGTTTTATCAATGACTCCCTTACCTTTTATTGTATGTAACCAATATTAAAACTATGAATCTTGTGTTCTTTTGTGACCCAAATTAGTTTCATATGAAATATTTTGATTTGTCAATATTACGGATAAAAGAAAGTATAATGATGTCTAAATGATAACTTTTTCTTGAGATTTAAAAAAAATTTTATAATATTGAAATGTTTATTTAAATATGTACTGTGGTATTTAATACGCAAAGCCATTCATTTCTGTCATTAACATCAATCGTATTTTTTCTATCTTTACAAATAATAATATCCAGGTATAATTTAACTACCGATAATGTCTATTAACTGCATTTCTTGAAAAGTCGATAATCGATTTCTTTGTTACATAGATTTACTCTCGATCTCGGCTTTAGGTAATTAGTTCAAACAATTTTCTTATCTAAATTACCTATTCTCTAATGTGGACTTTACTGTTTCTGAGGCTAATACACAATTCCGCAAATAAACTTTCTTAAAACTAAATATAATCGTCAGGGTGTTCCAAAACTTATTTACTCGTGGTTGAGAAATATATTATTATTTAAAAATATTAATATAGGCTTTTAACTTCTCATGCGCCAATTTAAAAACTACAGCAATATATATATATATATATATATATAATATATATATAAATATATATATATATATAATATATATATATATATATATATATATATATATAATGTTATGATATGTAAAATCGAGAAAAATATTGGTTTGCTTAAAATATTTCAAAGTTCAAAAACATTAAAATAATTCAGATAAGTCAAACAATAAACTACAAACATTTCGAAGAATGAAAGTCTTTTAATTCTGGATTACCTGTATTTAACAAAACGTAAGATATGCATAAATTATTTTCTTTGTTAAAATATATTTGTATGACGTGAATAAGCTGAAGTGAAATTCTAGACAATTGAAGCGGTTTTTCCAAATAAATGTTGTGCAGTAATTAGGACAATAGAATAGATTTTATAAAGATATGTTTTTGTTAGTTTTTAAGAATTGGTAGGATAATATTATTTTGTAAACAAGTTTTAGGAAATTTTATAATTGCAGGTAAAAATTTGTGTGTTATCGAAATGAAGAAATGGGAGATGTATGACGAGTTTTGATTGGATGAGATTGGAAAAGGTGGGAGGTTTGGTTTGAGAATGAGACGTTAGTTAGTTTTGGAAGAAAAATGGATAGTCAGTTGGTTTCCAAGGGTGCAAGGTGAACGGCCGTTGTTCTCGGGTAGTTTCCCAGAGGTAGGAAGCAGTAGCAGTGAAAATTTGTGTGTGTCTTCGTGTAGTTAGTGTATCTGACAGAAGCTGATCCAGTAAAAGATTGTAAGTTATATTTTCTACTTATATTCCAAGAGTCACTGTTCAGGCCAACGCGAGATTCAGTTTATCGTAAAGAAAAAAAATTCCAAGAGTCATTTTTCACTCAGGCCAACGAGAGATTCAGTTTATTGAGAGAAGAAGAAGCTAGCATAATTTGAACGATTCGTGCATTTGAAGGAGATCATTAAGGACGATAAACTTGCAATAATTTGTTGTAAGATTGCTGATTACCTGGGGAGCGGCTACGAGTAAATAGTATAGTCTACAAGGAACAAGGATTTGGACCACTCATCATCAGAGAGAGAGATAGTTTTGTTTTCTGCAGTTTTTCTTTTATTGATAACACAATTTTTACACTTAATTTACAAAGGATATAAATATTTTGATTAGGAGATTTAGAATAATATTTGGATTTTGAGATTTCAACTAATATTGTTTGTACCAGTAATTTTGAAGGTTCACGTACGTAGAACAAAATTTTGAGAATCACTATATGAGATTTTGTTTATTGAAAACATTTGAGTGTTAATTTTATGAGTTTGAAGTGTTTCCCTTATTCCTGTTCTCTAACTCTTTTATGCATGTTCAAGAATTCATAGTTTTTAATTTCTTTCAGTTCTTGACATTGCTCATGTAACATTGTCTTGTCATCTTATTTTATTATTCGATTGGTTTCATTATATTTAATTGGATTTTTATTTTAAATGATTTTTAAATGATTTTCTACAAAAAACTTTATCCTTGACATGGGAGGAAATTTAAACTCGAATACTTGGTTGACATTTTTAAAATGCAATTGGATAATTATTTAAAATTGAGCGAATGGGGCTAAAAACATAATTGTTCTCTTTTAAAACACAATACGTTTTTTTTTAATTATTTGATTTAATAAGTTCGATTCGATAAAAAGGTCTGGCTAATTGGTTTCACCAAGGTCAACTACCAATAAAGATAATAAACTTTTATTTTGAAACATATTTTAATTAATAACAGATTATTAAATTTATTATATGGAAGATTTATTATATCTAAAACACACCTACTTATTATGAATAAACTCATAATGTGCCATTGTTATTATTGAAAAAGAAAAGTGTCATAAAAAAATAAACAATAATCAGACTTTATCACCAATGATATGATATTAAATAAATCTCATTTATGAATTTTCATTATCCTTTAAGTAAAAGTACTTGTGTAATAAAGTACGACTCCTGTTTGATTTCATTATTTGTTTTTATTTCGCAATTTCTCACTTTACATGTTCCGACGTTTTCTCATTTTTCTCTGGTATTACCATCCATTCTTTAAACATCTGCTCCAACATCTTTTAATCTGTATTTAATGGCACTTTTTGCTTTTCTTTTTGTAACTGCTTTAATTTGCTCACCTGGCTGTTCAATTATTGCTAGACTTCCGTAAATCATAAATCTTCTTCGGCACTGACAGAGGGTAGAGGTTGAAAAACTTATTTAAGATATTTTTCAAATATCTCTGCTTTTTCTTTATCTGTTGCGACCCACGAGTCACCTGGGTTTCTTAATGCTGAGATGTGTTCATTTTTTTTTGGTTGTTTGGTTCTTATGGACTGCTTTCATCGGATACTGTTCACTCAGATGTTCACTTCGGGTGCTGTTCATCCTTTTGACTGCGCAATGAGGTCCCATCATAACGTACGGATAAAAATGTATCAAAAATGTTATATAAATATTGTTTTAGAGAGTATTTAGTATTTATATTTTACATTTAATGCTTTTATTACTGTATTATAGTATGATCTTTTTTAATTATATATTCTAATTACTTATTTACTTTAAAAGATTACAGTATATTACTTTTCTTCTATTTGGTAAATTCTTATTGTCAAACTGGCTAACATATATTTTAAATTGTCAAACATTCTCATTGTCAAATATATATTTCAAAAGACAGATTGAGGAGAAATCAAGTTGATCGTATTTTAATTACATTAGTGGCGAAAATTCTGGAAACTTTACAAAAATTATCGTTTTTTTAGCAAGACTTGTCTCATGATCATAATTTATATAGTTTACCATTACAATTACATTTTTATTTTATTGTTTTATATTCCTGCATAATATTTTATGTATTTCTCACTTTTTTTATTAATACAATTATTTAAAAAATATGAAACCAGATTTAAGCGACACGCCTAAAATCCGAGATTTGTGAATGGCAACATTGGCAATACTGTATTGCGTCAGGGTTTTGCTAGTCAATCAACAACCCAACTGGAAGCGGTAAGGTGGTTTTTAGTACAGTTTCGTGCAACTTCCAGTGTTTATTAGTGACATCAGGTAGTTGTTACTAAGGTGATATTACTTAATTGTCGGAGAGGAATTCATCAGCGTCGATTCAACGAAAATGGCAACCAGAAACCCAAAACGTGTTGACTGGTCGCCAGGAAAGAGAGCCAAAGCAATTATCCTTCGAGAAGAAAGTTACACTTATCAAGAAATAGCAAACAAATTGGGTGATGGCGCCACAAAATCAGGTGTAATGAAAGTTTGCAAAAGTGGAACGACAAAATCAACAAAAAGATCTGGCAGAAAACCCAAGGTTAGTCA